ATAGCCATAAAAAGAAATGACATCATATTCTTTGCAGGGACATAGAAGGAGTTGGAAGCCATTATCCTCAGCAAACTAATGCAGAAATGGAAAACCAAACACCACATGTTCTCACTTAAAAGGGGGAGCTGAATTATAAGAACACATGAACACAAGCAGAGAACAACATACACTGGAGCCCATTGGGAGGCCCAGGGATCGAGGGGCAGATGGAGAGCATCAGGAAGAACAGCTAATGGATGCTGGGCTGAATACGTAGATGATGATGGGATGATTCTTGCAGCAAACCACCATGCCACACGTTTACCTAACAAGCCTGCACATCCTATACATGTACCCCCGAACTTAAAAGTTGAAGAAAAGAAAAAAAAAAGAGAGCTGGAGTGGCCAGATTAATCTTGGACCAAATAGACTTCAGAATAAGAAAAAGGAGATAAAAAGGAACATCACTCTGATAAAAGACTAAGTTCACCAGAAAGACAAAACAATACTAAATGTGTTTGCACTTAACCACATAACTTTTCAATTCGATTCCATTTTGCTTTTGCAAAATCCAACAGAATTGAAGAAGTAGAAACATTCACAATCACACTTGAAGACTTCAACATTTCTGTCACTGTCATAGATAAAGTAAGTAGAAAGCAATCAGCAAGGATATAGAGGACCTGAACAAGAGTGTTAACCAACTTGACCTAACTGACATTTATAGAATATTATCCAACAACAGCACAGTGAGCATTCTTTCAAGTGCATATGCAACATTCACCAAGATAGGTCATATTCTGGGTCATAAAGCAAACCTTAACAAAATTTTAAAACCTTGAATCATACAAAGGATGTTCTCTGTTTATAATGGAGTTAAACTAGAAACCAGTCACAGAAAAATATAGGGAAAATTTCCAAACATTTGGAAGTTGCATAATACATTTCCAGCAAGCCATGAATCAAAGAAAGTCAAATAATATTTCTCAAAAGAAATTTGAAAATATTTTGAACTGAAAAAAATTACATATAGTATACCAAAAACTGAGTGAGGCAACTAAAGCCACATAGACAGGGAAATGTATAGCACTGAATGCTTAAATCAGAAAACAAAGAATAACCTCAAATCACAAACTCTTTCCACTTTCCACTCTAAAGAACTAGAAAAATAAGAGCAAACTAAACACAAATTAAGCATAATGAACACAATAATAAAGGTAAGAGTAGAAGTCAGTGAAATTGAAAACAAACACAATAGAGAAAATTAATAACATCAAAAGCTACTTATTTGAATCAATCAACAAAATTGATAAAAGTCCAACAGACTGATTAAGGAGAAAAGAAAAAAGAAACAAACTACCAACATGAATAACAAAAGAGGGACTATCACTACAGACTCTTCAGAGATTAAAAGGTTAATAAAAAATACTATGAACAACTTCATGGCCATAAATTTAATAACTTAGATAACATTGATCAATTCCTTGGAAAAAAAGTAAAACAAGCTACCAAACTCACTTAAGTAGAATGATATACCATCAATAGTCCTGAACCTAATAAGTTAAATTTGTATTTAAGAGTGCATATGCAACATTCACCAAGATAGGTCTTTTGTCCAACAAAGCAAAAGAACAGATTCTGTTGCTGATGACTTCTACCAAACACTTAATGTTTAATGTTACATAAATTAAATTTGTATTTAAGACCCTCCAACAAGCAAAGGAACAGATTCTTTTGCTGATGAAGACTACCAAACATTTAAGCAAGAAATAAATCCAACTCTACACTACCTCATCCAGAGAATTTAAGTGGAGGAAACATTTCCCAACAAATTGTATAAGGATATAGTTGTGATGATACCAAACCCAGAAAAAAATACAACATAAAAAAAGAAAATTGCAGATCAATATTCTTATAAACATAGATGCAAAATGCTCAACAAAATTTTACCAAATTAAATCCAGCATTATATCAAAAGATAACATATCACATTTAAATGACATTTATTCCAGGAATACAAGGAAGTTTAATAGTCAAAAACTAAGCAAATTAATCCATTATATTAACAGATGGAAAGAAAAGACATATAATTAATAAACACAGAAAAAACTGACAAAATTTAACATCCATTTATGATAAAAATTAACAGCAAACTAACAGTGGAAGAGAACCTCTTTAAGCAAATAATGGGCTTGGCAAAAAAATAGCAAATAATGGGCATGGCAAAAAATAGATATCACTAGCATTAGACTTAATGATAAAAACTAAATGCTTTCCCACCAAGCTCAGGAACAAGGCAAATATGTTTGTTCTACTACTTCTTTATTCAATACTATACCCAGGTTTTATCCAGTTCAGTAAGTGTCAAAAGGTATATACTTTAAAAAGAAGGACATACAACTGTCTCAATTTGCAGATGTCATGACTGTCAACATAGAAAATCCCAAGAAAATGTATTTTAAAAGCTATTAGAAGTAATAAATTACTTAAGAGTGCAAGCCCAATATATGAAAATCAATATTTGTATATACTAATGATGAAAAATTAGAACATAAAAGTTGAAAAAAATCATGTTCAAAGATGAACATGAAATATTTAGGAAAATATATGCAGTATTTTCATGTTGAAAACTATAAAACACTGATCAAAGAAATAAGCCCTCAATAAATACTGAGATATACCATGTTCATGAATTAAAAGGCTCAATTTTGTTAGAATGTCAAACAATGGATAGATCACTAGGTATAATAAAATTTTAATAAAAATTCCTGAATAGCATTTAAATATTGACAAGCTAAGTTTAGTATTTATGTGGGAAGTCAAAGAAACTAGAATAGCCAAGACGATATTGAAACAGAAGAAAAATTCATAAGACTTACATTATATGATTTTAAGACATAATAAAGTACCTATGTACAGTAATAAAGACCATGTATAATAATCAAGATAATATGGTATTGGGAAAATGATAGGTGCATAGATCAATGGAAAGCAACAAACAGTCTAGAAATAGACCCACATATATTTTGTCAATTGATTTTTTTACAACAGGGCAAAGGCAATTTAATGAAGAAAAGTTATTCATCAAATAATCCTGAGATAACTGGACACCCATATATAAAGAAACTACAATCAATCTATATCTCAAGCCTTATACAAAACAAAAAACAAAAAACAAAAAAAAACCTCAAAATGAGTCATAGACCTAAATGTAAAATATAAAACTCTAAAACTTTTAGAAGAAAATATTTGGGAACTTGGATTAGATAAAGTGTATATTTCTTAGCTATAAACCATAAGCCATATACGAAAGATTCAATAAACTGGACATCTCCAAAATTAAAACTTTTTCTCTGAGAAAAACACTGTTAAGATTATAAAAAACATAAGTGACAAATCACTTATGAGAAAATATTCACAAATAACGCATCTAACAAAGTTCTTATTTCCAGAATATCTAAAAATTTTTCTAAACTTAAAATAACTTCAATTTTTAAAATGAGCAAAAGATTTGAATAAACACTTTGCCAGAGAAAATGTATGAATGGTGAACAAGCACATGCAATGATGTTCAACATCATTAGTTACTAGAAAAAAATGCACACTAATATATGAAATGTCACTAAAAAACAATAAGAATGACTATAATAAAAACAATTTTAAGCTCCTAAAACCCAAGAACTGGCAATGAAGAAAAGCAACTGGATATCTCACTCATTGCTAGTAACACAAAATAGTACCACCACTCTAAAAATGTGCATATTTTTACAATTAAGCTTACACTTACAACATGATCCAGTTCTTATCCTAAATATTTATCATAGAGAAATTTAAACTATTGATCACACAAAAACCCATACATAAATATTTATAGAAGCATGATTCATAATTGCCAAAGATGGAAATAATTCAAACATCCTTGAACAGATAAATGGCTAAACAAATTGTTATAAACATTTAAAGGTATCTTTCTCAGTAATAAAGAAGAAATAAAATATTGATCAAATCATTATGCTAAATGAAAGAAGGCAGACTCAAAGGGTTATATACTGTATGGGTTGATTTACATGACATCTTCTGAAATAAATCAAAACCATAGGAACAAAAACAGACCAGTGATTACCAGGGGTCAGGGTAGATGGTGAGTTTGAACTTTAGTAGATATAAATTAAAAATTAAAAAAGGCTAGAGTGCCTATATTAATAACAGAAAATAAGAGTAGAAATCAACAAAATAGAAAACAAAAAATTAAGAACTTAAATCTAACCAAAAGCTGATACTTTGAAAGATTAAGAAAACTGATAAACTTCATGCCAAATCAATCAAGAAAAAAAGGCCGGGCGCGGTGGCTCACGCCTGTAATCCCAGCACTTTGGGAGGCCGAGGTGGGTGGATCACAAGGTCAGGAGATCGAGACCATCCTGGTCAATATGATGAAACCCCATCTCTACTAAAACTACAAAAAATCAGCTGGGCATGGTGCCGCGTGCCTGTAATCCCAGCTACTCGGGAGGCTGAGGCAGGAGAATTGCCTGAACCCAGGAGGTGGAGGTTGCAGTGAGCCGAGATCGCGCCATTGCACTCCAGCCTGGGTAACAAGAGCGAAACTCCGTCTCAAAAAAAAAAAGAAAAAAAAAGACACAAGTTATAGATCCTACAGATATTAAAAGTATAAGGGAATATGAAGAACTTTATGCTGATGAATTTGACAACTTAGTTGAAATGGACAAATTTGTTGAAAGACACAAATTGCCTAAGCTGATTACTACCAACAGATAACCTGAATAGTCCCATATCTATCAAGTATACTGAATTTACAGGTGGAGGTGAGGGCTGAGTAGAATTTCTCACCAAGAAAATTCTGCACTGGTGATATTTGTCAAAGATTCATAGACATAATAATATCAATTCTACCCAAGTTCTTTTGGAAAACAGAAGAGGAGGGAACACTTCTTGGCTCATTTAATCATTTTATAATATTTTAAACATCAACTAGAGAGCAGTACTCTCATACTTACAAGGCCCCCAAATCAAAGTCATTGCCCAAGAACTCCTCCAATAGACTTGTATCCAGGGTTGGGTTCTCCAGAGTACCATTGGCTCCCTGAGCTGCAAAGGTAAATGGAAAATCTTGAGAACCATGAAGATTTCAGAATGGTTAATGGCTAAAAACACTGACAAATCTTTAGGGACAGGGACTGTGTCTTCCTTATTGTATACACAAGGATCGATAGCAAGGAGGAGGTAAAAAGTAAACATTTATTCGACGAGTGGATGGATGGAAGATGGATGGATGGTAGTTTTGTTGGTCAGCCAAATTATTTCCAGTTAAGTTCAACAAGAAGTTCAATATCTTGTTTCACACTTTTTTTAGATCTGCCAAAATGTAGCAAAATAGTTCTGTCCTTTTCCTTGTTTACAAAATGAAAATAAATTTACTGGTTTCTTACTGACTATAATAAATATGTTGATATTTTTACAGAACAAAATATAGAGCCATATACTATAAAAAAGACAAAATTTTTTATCTGCAGGTAACATGACTCTATACAACTGACAAACAGAAATAATCAGAAACTTAAATAGGGTTGTAGGTGATGAGTACACTAAAAGCCCAGACTCTATCAGTATGCAATATATGCATGTAAGAAGCCTGCGCTTGTACTCCTAAGTACATATAAATAAAAAATGAAAAATAAACTGGCCAGTCATGGTGGCTCATGTGAGTAATCCCAGTACTTTGGGAGGCTGAGGCAGGCAGATCATTTGAGGTCAGGAGTTGGAGACCAGCCTGACCAACATAGTGAAAACCTGTCTCTACCAAAAATACAAAAAAATTATCTGGGTGTGGTGGCATGTGCCTATAGTCTTAGTTACTCAGGAGGCTGAGACAGGAGAACTGCTTGAACCCAGGAGGCAGAGGTTGCAGTTAGCTGAGATCATGCCACTGTACTCCAGCCTGGGTGACAGAGTAAGACTCCATCTCAAAAATAAATAAATAAATAAATAATAAAAATAGCCTGTCTGCAACCCTTTGAGCTATGATTTAAAATAAATAAATAAATAGGGTAGTTGGTTAAAACTAAATACAAAAACTAATTGCTGTATATAAAGAAATAACAGCCATTCAATCATGCAAATACATATAATGGAAAAAAAGATTTTATTCAAAATAACAAAAAGCATATCTAAATAGACATTTAGAGACAATTTTTTCACTAAAAACTCTATGAAAGGCCTTAAGAAAAGATTTGAATAAATAGAGAGACCTACATTGTTCTTAGACTGAAATATAATATTGCAAAAATCTTACTACACATTATTTAGGATGTCTGCCAACCCCACATAGTTGCTTTCTGTGACTTTCGCCTCACAAAGATAGTCTCCTGCAGCCATAATTGTAATATATAACCTCTACAGGCATCTGAATCAGGGAAAAGCAATCCATTGGTTGGACAGTGATCAATTCAACTATTTCTCCCAAGAATTTAAACTCATGGACTTTAAAGCTGGTATTGAGATTAAGTCACAATAGCTAAGGCAGAGGACTAGAGCGATAGTCTAAATACTTCTGATTCTGGCTGGGCACTGTGGCTCACGCCTGTAATCCCATCATTTTGGGAGGCCAAGGAAGGCAGACCACTTGAATTCAGGAGTTGGAGACCAGACTGGACAACATGGCAAACCCTATCTCTACAAAAATATCTCCCCCAAAATTAGCCAGATGTGGTGGTGTGTTCCTGTAGTCCCAGCTCCTCAGAAGGCTGAGGTGGGTGGTTCACCTGAGCCTGGGAGTTTTAGGCTGCAGTGAGCCATGATTGCACCACTGCACTCCAGCCGGGGCAACAAAGCAAGACCTTGTCTCAAAATAAAATAAAGTAATATATTATGTAAGTGATATTGTGTCCTTCTCAGCGCCTTAAAACAGGAAGATAATAATGTCCTGTTATGACTGATGTTAATGTTGATTCCTTGGTTAAAGTACTGTATGCCAGCTTTCCCCACTGTAAAACCTCTCCTTTTGTAATCTGTGGGGAAATACTTTGAGACTCTGCATACATACTGTTTCTCATCAAGTTTTTACCCAATAGTTTTAGCATCTTTTGATGATCATAAGTATTTTAATACAAAAAATGAAAAACAAACTGAAATATTTTATTTTTCAGTTTAAGCCTCAGCATTCAGGAAAAATTATTTTTTTCAACTTTGATTTTAGAAATAAAGGGTGCATGTGCAAGTTTGTTCCATAGGTATATAAGTCTCAGCATGATGCTGAGACTTAAAGTATGGATCCCATCACCCAGGTAGTAAGGATTTACAGCCATTTTTTTTTCCAGGCCAGAATCTAATCTAGAATAACAGAATGCATTGGGTTATCATGTATTTTTAGATTTATCAAAGTGTGCAGGCTGTTTATAGAATGTCCTTCAGTTTTAGTTTGCCTCCTATTTTCTTATGGTTAAATTCAAATTATACATGTTTGACAAGAATACTACATAAATGAGGTCCGTTCAATAAAATATTATGTACCCATTTAATAAATTTTACAATATCTCAAGAGAAAAAAATGAGTTGCAAAAATCTTGTACCCAGTTAATTTCAATATAAAGGCAACAGACAGACAATTCCAAAATGAAAAAGTTGAGGGTATAAGACTCCCTTACGTCCCCCTTGAAAGTAGTTCCTTAATAAAAATTCAGCCAATCAAGAATGACTCACAAAAAAAAAAAAAAAAAAAATACAGAAACTGAGGTGAAAAACAACCAGGGATGAAGAGCAAATTCATACAAATATAGGATTTAGGCTGAATTTCTAAGGGAATTATGGCTGCAAATCAAAATGTAAAAGTAACAAACCCTGACAAAGGAAAAATAATACAAACAACAAAAATTGAAAGGTGAGGAGATGGAAGATGGGAAGTGATGTAATACTATCTCATCATTTATATCTCAGAATGTATCTTTACTACCTAAACCTGTACCATTTGGTAAAAAAAAAATGCTTTTCAGTGATTTTTTAAAATCCCCTGTCTTTAATCTTGGAAGAATCCTTTAGAACTGATACCTTTAACAGTAAAGAATTACTTTCTTCAGAATTACAATTCTGTAATTCCTTTATTTTTCTTCAAGTTCTTTTTATTCTGTTAAATTCAAGTAAAATTAATATTTTATATTAAATTTAATGTTTTATGAAAATAGTGCATATAAGATCATTTCTTATAAAACTATTTCTTATGGTTAAATTCAAATTATACATCTATCTACTTACCTATTGTATTAGCCCATTTTCCTGCTACAGATAAAGATATACCCAAGACTGGGCAATTTACAAAAGAAAGAGATTATTAGACTCACAATTCCACATGGCTCACAATCATGGCAGAAGGTAAAAAGCACATCTCACATGGTGGTAAACAAGAGAAGAAAGCTTGTGCAGGGAAACTCCCATTTTTAAAACTGTGAGATCTTGTGAGACTCATTCACCATCACAAGAACAGCACAGGAAAGTCCTGCTTCCATGATTCAATAATCTCCCACAAGGTCCCTCCATAACATGTGGGAATTATGGGAGCTACAAGATGAGATTTGGGTGAGGACACAGAGCCAAACCACATCACCCATCCATCCATCCACATATCCATTGTAGATGATGAAATAACATCCCATAACTTTTAACACTGGTTAGATTATAGGATTGAGAGCAACTGATCACTGTTTTCAGGTCCTAATTTTAAACTTTGAAAAAATATTTTATACAATTTTGGATAAAACTATTTTCTAAAACAATTAAAAAATCAAATTGCCAAAATCAACTCAAAAATAAAGAGGATGTCTGAAATGACAAATAGCCCTGGAATGGTGAAAATTTTCACCCATAACTTTCACCCTACCCCTGCATAAACAAGAAGTTCCAATAACATCATGGCTCATGCTTCTAAAACTTCAACAACATAACTTCCACCATTTTCACAATTCTAAAACAGAGAAAGAATAAAAGCATCCAAAGTATTTTCATGACATTAGCACCAAATGAATGCCAAAATCTGACAGAGATGAAATACATAAAGAAAACCATAGACTAATATTATTTGTGAAGAGTATATTCAAATCCTAATTAAAATGTTGTCAAATGAAATTCAACATTAAAAGAAAAATTTATCATTAAGAAACACAAAGATGACTCAACACTAGAATTCATATATCAAAGGTAAAATAATATTTGACCTTCTTAATGCTAAAAGGCATTAAAAATTCAACATCGATTCCAATGAACACATCTTTAAAATTATATATATCCATATGCACATATATATTGTACGTACGACAGAAAACTAATGTCAAACAAGAGCCACTGGGCACAGTGGCTCATGCCTGTAATCCCAGCACTTTGGGAGGCTGAGGTGGGCAGATCACTTGAGCCCAGGAGTTTGAAATCAGCCTGGCAAACATGGTGAAACCCTGTCTATACTAAAAATACAAATATTAGCTGGGTGTGGTGGTGGGCGCCTATGGTCCCAGCTACTTGGGAGGCTGAGGCATGAGAATCGCTTGAACCTAGGAGGTGGAGGTTGCAGTGAGCTGCGATCACAGCACTGCACTCCATCCAGCCTTGGCAACAGAGCAAGATTCTGTCTCAGTTATCAAAAACAAAAACAAATAAGAGCTGGTGTCATGTTTAATGATTTCAAAAATTAAAAATACTGTATATTCATTATGGTAAAAATAAAATAAGTATTTTAGTTACCATGTTATTACACAATACATTGCTAAATGCACTAGCATCCCATTTAATCAAGAAAAGGAAGAGAGATATGAATGTCAGAAAGGTGGTAATAGTTTGCAAATGACATATATTTTAAATGTATAAATCAACATCAATTAAAACTTCAAAATAATAGGCAACTTCAATAAAAAGACCATCACAAAAGTAATGTATAAAAAATAGATTTCTATATTAAAACAACAGCTACTGAGAAAATATAATGTAGAAAAGTCCATTTATAATAGGAATACAATTTTTAGGAATAAAATTAAATCAGAAGAAACTCTAAAACTCTAATATAATTAAGAGAAGATTAATAAATTCAGAGTATATTTTGTTTGCATAAA